GCGCGCCCGGGATCCGAACCCGGGCCGCCAGCAGCAGAGCGCAAGCACTTAACCGCTAAGCCACGGGGCCGGCCCTAAAGAGGTATTTTTAAAACAGGTCTGTGTTTAGCCACTCTCCTCTCTTGCTCACCTCTTTTCAAGAAGCAAGTTGATCCTTGGAATTTGGTTTGAAAGGGAACACTTGGTACCTCTGTAAGGTGAATTGTGGTGAGTGTCCCCACTCCTTGAAAACAGCAGAGCTCTCCCATGCCCTTGGTGTAGTAGGGCTGGAAGGGCTCCTGGGAAGCAGGTCACACCCTACAAGAAAGTTGAGGGAAGTGATCTGGCCCTTTCCAGAAGTAGATCATTGGTCAGAAGAGAATGTTTGGAGCTAGGCTGCTACTTGTTACACAATCCCTGTAGTCAAATTTGCATGTTCTGACACAGCGGAGAAGCAAGAGGGTTAGGGAAAGAACATGGACCTGCATTCAAGTCCTGGCTTTTCCTGGTGTGATCCTGGGCAAGTTACTTAAATTCTCTGAGCCTAAAAGGTACCCGGCTCTGCGAGATGTGAATTCATTAATCATCCATTCATGCAACCAACCTGGGAGGGGTGCCTTGTAGCGTCCTGCTACCAAAGAGTTTACCAACTAGTGAAAACAGAGACAGAAACCAGCAGTGTGGGAAGTGCTCTGATAACACAGAGTAGGAGGGAGAGTGGGGATCGGGGTAGGAGATGGGAGTTTGGGTGGATATTGGTCTGGGAAGGCTTCCTGGAGGAGGTGACCCTTGAATTAGAGTTTTGAAGGATGAATGGAAGTAAGTTGGGTGCGGGGCCGGCCCGGTGGCGCAAGCGGTTAAGTGAGCGTGCTCCGCTGCTGTGGCCTGGGGTTCGCCGGTTCGGATCCCGGGTGCGCACCAATGCACTGCTTGTCAAGCCATGCTGTGGCAGCGTGCCATATAAAGTAGAGGAATATGGGCACAGATGTTAGCTCAGGGCCAGTCTTCCTCAGAAAAAAGAGGAGGATTGGCATCAGAGGTTAGCTCAGGGCTGATCTTCCTCACAAAAAAAAAAAAAAGAAAGTTAGCTGGGTGAAGTAGGGGAAGGCATTCCTGGCAGTGAGAAGAGCTTGTGTGAACAAGATTAACACCATTGAGTAGCTGCAGATTGGTAGGAGCTCAGGGTATGTTGGGCAGAGGGCAAAAGTGGCAAGAGACAAAGCAGGGGAAGTGGGCTGTTACTGTATCACCAAAGGGCTAGGCTGAGGAGATTAACAATTTTCTTGTGTTGCCCTCGTTGAGGCATGAAATAGCCAATTTCTCACAATTGTTGGAGGTTCTGAAGTTTGCCGGCAATTTACCTTTTTATTGATTGATTTTTTTGTGTGTGTGAGGAAGATTAGCCCTGAGCTAACATCTGTCGCCAGTCCTCTTTTTGTCGAGGGACACTGGTCCTGGGCTAACATCCATACCCATCTTCCTCCACTTTATATGGGATGCCACCACGGCATGGCTTGACAAGCAGTGCATCAGTGCACACCCGGGATCCGAAGCCTGGGCTGCTGCAGCGGAGCACACAAACTTAACCACTGTGCCACCGGGCCAGACCCTATTGATTGATTTTTAAATAATTTAGAGCAAATGCTTGAGTCTCCCTATAATAATGTCATTTTCACATACTTGTATTCCAGTATACTTAACTGACTAGAAAAGAAAGGGAAGAAATTTCTTAGCATCTTCAGAATTGTACTTAACTCTGGATATACACACCCATGAGTATTTGCTGTCTGAAAATTTGTATCCACGTGTGTAAGTAGAGCTTAAGTGGAGCATTCCCCTGTGGTATGGGTTAAGAAAACAGTCGGTGACATAAGGTAGGGGTCTGTGGTAGTCGAAGTCAGTGGAACAGACTGTGTAGGAAGAATAACAATTTCTTAGGCTGCAAATGATGTGTAAAGTGATTCAGGATGGATTTCCCCCCCCCCCCAAAGCCCCAGTAGATAGTTGTATGTCATAGTTACACATCCTTCTAGTTGCTG